ATTATATAATATATATAATATATGAATAAATAAATAAATAAATAATATATATTATAATATATGATATAATATATAATATATCATATATCATATATCATATATATTATAATATATATGATATATCATATATCATATATAATATTATAATATATGATATATAATGTATAATATAATATATTGTATAAATAAATATCAAATATTTATATATATAAAAATACATATATATATTATACATATATATACATATATTATATTTATTATATAAATATATATGCATTTATAATATTTACATATTATATATGTAAATATTATATAAATATCATATGTGTATAATATATAAATATTTAATATTTATTTATATAATATATTATATTATATGATATGTTATATTATAATATATTATTATATTATATATTATAATATTATAATATTATATATTATAATATTATGATATTATATATTATATCATATATATTATATATGATATATTATATTATATAATATATTATGTTATAATATATTATATACATATATATGTATATACATATATGTGTACATACATATATATGTATTATATATTATATATATAATATATATCATATATTATATAATATATAATAATATATAATATATAATATATATAAATAAATTATATATATAATATAAATTATATAATATAAATAAATTATATAAATATAAATACATATAAATATAAATAAATATATCAATATCAATATAAATATATAAATATAAATATAAAATATAAATAAATTATATGTATGATATTATAATATATAATACATATATACATATTTATAAATACATATACATATTTATAAATAAATATGTAAATATTTATATATTCTATGATATATATTATTATATATAATATATAATACATATATATGTGTATATATGTATAATACATATATATATTATATATATATTATAATATAATATATTATATAGTATAATACATAATACATATAATATATAATATTATAATATATAATATAATAATATATTACAATATATTATATAAATAAATATTAAATATTTATATATAAATACATATATGTATATGTATATATATAAATATGTGGTGTGTATATATAAGTATATATAAAGTGTATATAATACATATTATGCACACACACACGCAAAAAGACACTCCAAAATCTTCATAATAAAGAACCAGAAACAAAGTAGATGACCATCAACTGGGGACTGGCTAAACAAGTTGTTGTATACAAATATTTCCTGTACTTTGAGAAACAATTAATACGATGAATAAAGAGAATTTTGAGGAAACTTAAATGAATTGATGCAAAGTGAAGTAAGCATAACCAGAATAACAATAGACCTTTCAGACCTTTCCAAAGGTGCAATCAACACCTCAGTGGTAGCAGCTTCTGTCACTGGAGGGCTTCAAGCAGAGCCAGATGATCACTTGTTGGGACTATTGTAGATAAGAGTCATGATTTGGATTAATTCCTCCCCCATTCCCCCAATAACATTTTAAAGTGTTTTAGGTTTATGAAGCACTTTACATATATTATCTTAAACCTCATAACAACCCTGTGAGTCAAGTACTAAAGGAGTTATTACAAGCATTTTACAGATGAAGAAAGTGAGGCTCAGTGAAATTAAATGACTTGCCTGTGTCACACAACTGTTATCAGAAGTGGGACATAAAACTGTTTCCTTGACGCTAGCTAGGTTCCTCTCTCTACTCACTATGCCATACTGTGTATTAAACGACTTCCGGAGTTCTTTCTGACTGTAAGTTCAAGATTCTTCTCCAGTGAAAAATGATTCATTCCTAATTAATGCAATAGAGTGAAAGATGTATTTTTCAGGAGGTTTATACATGAAGCATGTCCACCTGGAAAGGCTCTGAAGTGCACTTGCTGCTTCCTTCACCTACCTCCAACGAACCCTCCTGGACAGCTCGAACAGCCACAGGTGAATTGCTATAGCTAGCAGAAACAAAAGAACAGGAAAAAAATCACAAATCAACATTTTATGATCATAAAACTTAAAACTTTATGATCATAAAACAAAAAACTTAAAAAAATACCAATATATAAAATAGATTTTCCCCCATGAAAATGGGATGAATAGCTAATAATATTCAATTCACACTTACATAACTCTCTAGGGTTTGCAAAACACTTCCTCACAACAAATCTGAGGTATAAGAAATGCAGGTATTATGCCTATTTTACAGATGAGGAAATTGAGGCTTTGGGAGGATAAGTGAATTGCCCTGGGTCACCCAATTGAAATGTCAGAGGCAGTATTCAAATCCAGGTCTCCTGACTCAAAGTTCAGTAACTCTTTCTACCATGTCTCTTGAAGGCTGGGGCTGTTTCATTTTTTACTTTGACTTTGTGTCCTTGGGGCCTAGCAAGGTGTCTGGCACATGTAAGATGTTTAAAAGATGTTAATCAGTTGATGTCATACTACCTCTTAAAAAATGAAGTACTAGTAAGTTTTATGTGTACATGTACACATTCCTATACAGCTTATATATATATATTAAGACCTAAAAGTCTTAATATAGTTTTAAGCTATTAGAGCACCTTGTATATGCATATATATGTATATGTGTTATGTATATACACACACACACATGTGTATTGTGTGCATATATACACATGTATGTATGAGTATACACACATGCATATATAGACACATGCACATATATATTCTCTTGATAAATCTTGCCAGTTTTGGGAGGTAGGCACTGAAAATATTCCTATCTCCATTTTACACATGAAATTGAGGCCCAGAGAGTTTAAACAACTTTCCCATCCCTGGTCACACCATTAGCAAGTGTCTCGTGTAAGATAGCAACTTATGTTGACCCTCACCTTCAAGTCTATACTACTTTTTCTGCTATACTACATTTCCTCTCAGAGCTAACAGTTTTGAGTACTATCCTACTCAAAGAGGGGGTACCTCCCAATTAATTCATGAAATACAAACACACCAGTGATAGTTTGAAACATTAGGTCTCTTAGGAGGTACGTACCCATTTGCCAAAGAATATGTGGATCTAAAATGAAATTACTATATTAATACCCCATCATCCTAATCTCTTCTAATTAGCTGGAGTTAGTCCCCAGCTGATCTTTCAGTTAGCTGGGAGCCAACCCAAGGAAAAATGCTAAAGTGAGAAGCTTGCTTTCAACTTTTTCACCAGCATCCTCTCTTCGCTAGAACTAATGCCCACCTTATGAATCACATAAATTTTCATTTGCATGCAGAAATGTGTTAGTGCATAGAATGATTTGTGGTATAATGGATGGAGCAGTAGATAAGAGTGCCAGGCCTGGAGTCAGGAAGACTAATCTTTCTCAATTTAAATCTGGCCTCAGACACTTACTAGCAGTGGCACCCTGGGCAAATCACTTCACTCTGTTTACCTTAGTTTCCTCATCTGTAAAATGAGCTGGAGAAGGAAATGGCAAATCTCTCCAGTATCTTTTTCAAGAAAATTCCAAATGGGGTCACAAAGAGTCAGACATGACTGAACAAAAAACAAACAAAAATAGTAAGTGATATTGTTTTGTTTGTAACTCATAAAGACTATTAAGTGCTGAATAGAGGGGTCCAGATCTGTGTCAGTGAAGAAAGGGACCCACACCAATGAAAAATATCCATCTTCAGTTTCAGTGTATACAAAATGAACCACATAATGAAATGAGACTCAACTTCCTTCTATATATTGTGTTTATGCTGCCTCTTCCAGCATGGTGCCCTGCGTGAGACTACTTTATATGTATTCTAAACCTATTTTTTTCTCCCATCAAAACTGACCAGTCTCTCAGACCCTGCTAGATCATTTGGTGAGCAAATTCAAACTAACATGTTCCTTACATTTAGGGAATTCATGTATTATCTATCTCAGAAATATCTATGGGAGCTTCTGGCAACATAATTGACTTATGATGGTAGAATTTCAGGTACCATAGGAGATATACTGAAAGCTTTCTGCCCCCTAAGTTATACCTCACAAGCAACTGTTATTACACAAGATCAATGGGATGCCTAGTTACAGGGGAATATTCTCCTTAGGCTATCTGGCAGGAAAGCATCTTCACTCCAAGAAATAAAAGAAAAAAAGCAACCTCCAAACATTTATATTTTATTATTTTACTTGACTATAGTCATCACATTAGCAGTGACAAATCAACCATGGACACTAATACCACTTAGATGACTAGGAAGTCATCGACTATAATCCTTCTGGTAAGATGGCAGACCTTGGTGCCTTACCACCCTACTGCAACCTCCAGCCTATCAGGCCTCACCATAGTGCTCTGCCATTATACCCCCTAGATTTCCAGACATTACTATCTGCCTCGCCAATACACCCCAAAGGTCCCCCTGCTCTTGACATCTTTAGGAGTTATACCCAGAACTCTTCTTTCTGGTTGCCTTCCCCAATCAGAACATGAGCTTTCTGAGAGCAAGGATTATCTTTCTTTCCTATTAATAGTTTCTGTATTCTTTTCTATTTATATTTGCACAGTGTTTGGCCTAGATGGCACTTAATTTCTTTTTAAATTCATTTTGGAAGCATTCGTTATTTTGTTTATATTTTGGGAATCACTTACCTAGGCTTCTCATCTAATTTAAGAATCTGGATTTTATCCACTTCTTTCAAGACATCTAAAGAGCTCCGTTCTAAAGCAATTTCTCCTACTTGGAGAAAATTTTTAAAAAATTATTAAATCATTTAAGTGTGCCATGCAAATCCTAATAATGACAGTTAACAACTATACCTGACCTTGACTTGGGTCTTCCAGGTCCAAAAAGTGGGCTGAAGTACTATTTGCATCACTTTTCTATGGAAGAAACGTTTAAAATAATAATGTGTATAGAATCTAGATAATTTGGGATCAAAATTGTTAATACTTAAAGTTATACAATGGAGAAGTATTGGTACAAAGCTGTCTTTAGGTCCACAGCACCAATCCATCTTATAAATGAAACTAATTCAGAGGCTGTATTTGGTGTTTCTTTAATTAGTTCCCTTTGAACAGGCCCCAAGAAATTGGTCTTATTGAGGAGGTACTGTGGTATTCTGGGGCTTGATGTAATCAGCACAATGTCATCCACAAATAGGAGTATCTGCAATTCCTCTTCTATTTGGACATTGGGAAGAACATCTTCTATGATAATGGTGAGCCTACACTTTTCTGTTTTATTATTTGTTTTGTTATTATTTATGATTTTGTTATTATTTGATGCTGATAACATCATGTTAAACAGGCTTAGCTTTATGTTTTCATCTATGAAGTCATTTTGTCTGATCTTAATATGCATAAAAGAAATGCTTCATGAAATCAATTAAACCTACTCACATTAACATGGTGCTTTAAGATTTACAAAGTTCTTTCCTTACAAAATATTCCTGTAAAATAGGTAGTATGTGTATTAGCAGCTAACAAGGCTTAGCACAGTGCCTGGCACATAGTAGGCACTTAATAAGTGTTGATTGATGATTGATCTTCATTTTATAGATTAAAAAACTGAATCTCAGAGAAATTAAATGGCTTGCCCAAGGTCACATAGCTAGTACACCTTGGAGTTGGGACTCTAACCCAGGTCCTTCTGAATTCAAGCTCAACAGTATTCCATTAATTCGTGCTAATGTCATCTGTAATTGGCCAAGGCAGCATTCTTGCTGAAAACCTCTAGTGTTGGGAAAGAGCCACAAAGTGCTAGTCTCTTTCAGAAGATATTTCCCAGCATAAACATTCTAAGAACTCTAGAGTTGGAAAAAACACCAGAAGTCATCTTGTCCAATTCTTCTTGAAGCGTAAATCCTCTATTGTCTCAAATAATGATCCAGTCTCTGAGTGGCCCCTTCTGACATAGGAAGGGAACTCCATTGCTTCATGAGGTAGCCCCCTCTATTCTCAGAAATGTCTGATTCCTCACTTTGAACGAAAATCAGCCTCGCTTCTATCCCCTTCCCCTAGTTCTGTTTTCTGGATCCAAACAGAACAAGTCTAAGAATTACTCTTCCACATAACATTCCTTCAAATACTTGAAGACAATTACTGTGCTACCCCCCTCTTTCTCCTCTCCAGGCCAAACAGTTTCTAGTTTCTTCAATCCTCGTATGGCATAGTTTCAAAGCCCTTCACCGTTCTGGTTGCCCTCCAAGTATATCAAGCATAGAACTTAAGGGTATCACTAATTTGAGCATATCAATGTCCCTCTTGAAATGACACAAAAAACAAAACTGTCCCAGAATGCCCCACATACATTCTACTAGGAAAGAATAAAACAAAACTGTTACTCCCCATGTTCTGGAAAGATCATTTCTATAAATGAGTCCTAAGATTGAATGAGCTTTTTCAACTGCTAAGTCACACCATTGACTGCAAGGTAAATGTGAGTCAACTCAAATTCCCAACCTTTTCACATTAACTGCTCTATAGGCATATACAAGTCCCTTATTTCAAAACTTTATGGTTCATTTTTAAAGCTTTATGGCAGAGTTCTACATTCATCCCTCTTACATTTCATCTTGTTAGTTATGGCTCATTTTTCTTGTCTGTTGAGATCTTTTCTGTGTCCTAATTCTGCTGTCATACAATATATTAGCTAGCCTTACCAGTGGGATAGCTTCAAGTTTTCTAAGTATGCTATCTATGCTTTCAGCCTGATCAAATCAGCTACTGATAAAATTGATTGCCATTCTGGAAGACAGTATCTAACTAGCATTTAAGTGACAATCTCAAGGAATTGAATACTTGTACATCTTAAGAAATTTTAAAAAGGACAGTTTCAGAGAAATCTGGAAAGATTTGTATGTGCTGATGCAGAATAAAGTGAGCAGAGGCAGAAGAACAATTTATACAATAATTACAATGTAAAAATGATTAAGTATCTTAAGAAGTCTTAATCAATGAAATGACCAACCATGACTCTAGAGGACAAATGATGAAGAATATTACCCACCTTCTGAAAGGCAAGTAAAGAAACTAATGTACAGAATGAGGTATGCAGTTTTAGACCTGTCCAAATTTGTTTTACTTGAGTATGCATTTTTGTTACAATGGTTTTGTTTTTCTTTTTTCTTTTCTGTTGGAAGTAGGGGTAAGAGAGAGAGAAATGCTTGTTAACTTTTTAAAAATTTATTTTGAAAAAGATTTCACTCCAGTGAAATAATTGGAAGGGGAATCTATCACAATCTTCAGCCTCTAATCCAGGGATTAACTTTACTTGTGTCATTGACCCCTTTGGAAGTCTGGTGAAACCTATGGCCCCTTTTTCTTAGACTAATATTTTTAAACTGTTGAAGGAAATACTAAATTTCAGTTAAAGTTTAATGAAAATGAAGATATAGTTTTTCCCATCCCAGGATCAGAAGCTCCTTGAAAGCTATCTGTGCTCCTTCTTCAATAAGGTTAAGAACTCCTGCTCAAATCCCATCATTAACAGCCTAATAATACATATACTTCAGGTATCAAACTTCAAATCTTTGATACTTACTTTTGTCTCAGGCTGTTCAACTACTTGGGAAGGCTCATAAAAAGAATCATTTTTGTCCTCTTGCACAGATTCTTCCTGGTACATGGGTTCTTGTACTTTGAAAAACATTTGAGGAAAAAGTAAATAGCCCTTTTGGAAACAGACATAATTTAGCTTCAGACTACTGCTATCAAAACATGCTTCAAGTATTTGTCTACATGCATAGTAGATGATTTTAGGGACACTTTTGTCCAAAAAAAACCCAACACTTTCCCTACTGGTTGCCAATGTCTGAAATTATATCATTCATAATTTTGATTTGAAATTTTGTCTCTTGTTAAAGTTCACCTGGGAAGGACTATTTCCTTGTCACTTACACCTCAGTGCAAATGAGTTTATTAATCTTAAAATAATAGATTTAGAGCTAGAAGATATATTATAGATTCCTTATTTTACACATGAGAAAATTGAGGACCAGAAAGGTCAATTGACATGCTTCATTCTTCTTCTGGCTTTGCTTCCAGCTCTCCAGATCACTACACCTCAATTCTCTTCTAGCCCTGGAAGTTCGTTCTGCCCCAGTTGTCCCCCTTCTCCCATTTGTTTCTCCCAAAACCTGCTATTTGGAGAAGGGCCCAGGCCACGCATCCTTCATTCCTCTCTGGGCTCTGCTTCTGACTCTCTGTATTTTACCCCATTTCTCCTGTACAGGTACCAACCTTTCCCCTTGCCTCTGACTTTTTAGCTCCCTTTTTTGTGAATCATTTTCCGCCATTAGAATGTAAGCTCCTTAAAGGTAGAGACTGTTTTCCTTTTTCCTTGTATTTGTGTCTCCAGCACCTAGCACAGTGCTTGGCACATAGTAAACACTTAATAAATACTTGTCAACTTGACTTGTTGAATTTGTGCAAAGTTGCACAAATGATAAGTAATAAGTGACAAGTGTGCCAAACATAGGTGTTGAACTGAGGTCCTCATCAACAAATTCACTTTTCTTTCTGCTGCACTAAAGAGTCTTATCCAGAATATTTTGATAATGGGAGAACAGAGATAGGGGTGAAAAAAAAGAATAAGGGGGCACCAAAGAATTTTGCATCACAATTTTTCGCCAGTTTCCACTTGGTCTTCTTCCCTGGAGAAATTTACTATTGAGGAAGTCCTAGGATGCCTCATCCTATGAGATCATGAGGTCAGCGCCATCTTCTGGTAATCTAGTCCTGTCTCGACTTAAAACTAGGAAACTAAATGTGGAGTTTTAAAAACAAGTACCTAACTATGTTAAGTTTTAAGTTATATACATGAAAATACAGGATTTGAAACAAGACTGGCCTAAGGAATAAACAGTATCTACACAGATAAGACTGGATGACCCTCATCTGTCCTGTGCAGGTATTTGGGGATGGAGGGTGGGGGTGTGTTTGTTTTTAATTAGGTACAAGGACTTTAAAATTCTGTAACAATAAAAACAAGCAGAAAATGAAAATGAAAAAACTACTCTCCAGGTAAAATGCTTGAAATGCTAGAGTAAGAAGCTCACAATTTTGATTTTTTTAAAAAATGTAAGCACCCCTGATTAATTTGCTCTCAGAGGAGGAATGGTGAAACATGCCTCCCATTTTCCTTTACTTAGAACTTTCCTTCCCACCTTCCTTACCACTTTTCTGGTACTTAGAAGTAGCAATAGACTATAGATACAAAACATGGCACTGGTTGGGTGTCAGGTTCAGCCAATGTATTGTTCTGTTGTTCTGAACTCTGTGTTAAAAGGAAGGATTCTATTGGGGATAAGCTGGTCAGGAAGTGACAGTGAGGTTTTTTTTAAGGACATCAATAAACGTGAATATAATAAAGATAATTCATTTAAACACAAATGTTCCTGGGAGGAGTAACGCCTTATGCCTATCAACTATTATTTTCAGACTGTGAGAATAAGGGCCAATAGGAATAAATGGAGAGATGTGCACAAAAACATAGATGGTAAATAAGCAGAACCAAATTTCACTTGCTCCAATTTTTCCTAGGGTCACTTTGATCTAGAGGTGCAATTTAGCTCACCAAAAAACAGATATTATGTCTACATAGATTCTGAAAAAGGGTCCTCAGTCATCCTCTGAGAATCAGCCCAAGCTAAATATTTACAAGGGCTGATTACCAAGCAGTGGCCACTAGGTGATCATTTTTTTCTTCAATAAAAGCAATTCACCAAGACTTCCTATTGGGGTATATATTCTTTCCATCAATGAAATCATAGATTCTTAAAGTCCTGCTAATTCTCCTGTGAGGAAGGAGAGATAGAGGTGGAGAGAGGCGAAGAGGGGAGAAAGTTAATCATAGGATTATAGATCTAAAGCTGGAATGGTCCTCACAGATCACCTGGCACAACCCATTCATTTACGTATGGGGAAACTGAGGCCCAGACAGGTAAAGAAACTTGCCCAAAGTCATCCAGGTAATTAAGTGGAAGAGCAGGAACCATTTTCATGTCCATTGCCTCAAAATCTGATATCCTTTCCAATAATTCCTCACAATACCAATCCTAGATTTTCAACTATCACTTGTCACTTGATTTAGTAGATAGGGAGCAATGGTTTCACCCTAATACTACATCATGTTTTTTAAGAGCTCCCTCTGCTTCCAGACTCCCAAGCCTAGATCATTGCTTATGCAACAGCTACATCTCTGAGGAAAAAAAACGATGAATTTCAGAGTATTGGTTAATCACTGAATTTCAGATCAATAATTTAAAACATTTTTGAAAAGTTGAACTGATAAGTCAAGGGCCTTATGAGAACTATGAGTCTAGTTAGTCATAGAGAAAGCTGATTCAGTAAGTAAGTGATTCAGAGTAAAATCTGAAATTCATTACTGTCCTTGAGGATCATCTTGATTATTAATTTAGGGAATTAGCAACATGATTATTTTCTAACTTCCATACATACCTGCTTTTTCCTCTTGGTAACTGGGACTCTCTGCTGTCTCTTGTTCCTTGAAACTTTCAGGAATTTCTGGTGGTTCTTCCCTTTTTGTCTGATCAGGGTTCAGTTGAAAACCAAACAAAAACAGGTTATTTAAAAAAAAAACAGTTCTTTTTACCCTAATATCTTTTGCAAGGGAAACACTGAAAAGCATAATGAGCATACGGTGTAGCAACAATATACAAATATTGTGAATAAGGAAAACTGCTCCATAGCTTTCTTCACCCATTTCAAGCTCCCTTCCTTCTCCTAGTCATTATTCCAAATGCCTCTTATTTCTAGGCCTACCCAGTGAATGGATAAGAAAGAGGAATGCATCAAGATGAAGAACATCATTTCTATGTTTCAGAGTCCTAGAGACCTTCAAAAAGAATAAATAATAATAATAGCATTTATATAAACACTTTAAGCCTTGCACATGTTATAACTCATTTGATCCTCACAACACCCCATTTTGCAGATGAGGAAACTGAGGCTGAGCAAGGTTAAGTGATTTGCTCAGGGTCACACAGCTAATAATTATGAGTTGAGATTTAAATTGACATCATTTTTATCAACATATCCACCTACCTGCCCCAGGGGACAATTACAGTCTGTATAGCATTGAAGAAAAGAACCTTCAGGGGTACTGAACTTGGAATTAGGATACCCAAATTCAAATACTAGGGCTGATATTTTGCATATGTTTTGTTGTTCATTTGTTTCAGTTATGTCTGAATCTTTGTGACCCCATTTGGGGTTTTCGTGGCAGAGATCCTGGAGTGGTTTGCCATTATTTCCAGCTCATTTTACAGATGAGGAAACTGAGGTAAACAGAGTTAAGTGACTTGCCCAGGGTCATAAAGCTAGTGTCTGAGATCAGATTTGAACTCAGACCTTCCTATCTCTAGGCCTAACACTTTATCTACTGCACCATCTAGCTGCCCCTTTGTATAATGTGATCATAAATGAATCCATTTGCTTAACCTGAGCCTCAAGAAATTGATGTACTATCTAGTTGTGAGGAAAGTTCTTTACAAACTTGAAGTATTCTATTAACATGAGTTTACCAATTAATAATAGGTATCTGAACTCCTCTCACAACAATATTCTCTATCCTAAAATTTCTCACATTTTGTCTGTACCTCTCTCTTCTTTGCACATTCCATTCTCCTAATTTGACCATATTTTTGTGAACTTTTCCTTTCTCCCGTGATATTATAAGTTTTTTAAGAACAGTCTGTCATATCTATTCAACAAACTTTTATCAAAAGCTTACTATTATCTCTTAATTCTAGTGCTTTCCCTCTATCATTTCCTATTTATCCTATATGTACTTGTTTGCACACATTTCCTTGTTCTCCCCACCCCCCATTAGCTCCTTGAGGGCAGGGGCATCTTCTGTCTTTCTACATATCCTAAGCACTTAGCACAAAGTTCCTGACACATTGTAGGTGCTTAATAAATGCTTATTGACTGAATGACTAATATGTAATGCACCATGCTAGGTATTAGAAATACAAAAAGACCAAAAAAAAAAAAAAAAGAACCATTATGCTGTTATCAAGGAACTTAAACTAAACCATATACAAACACAAGATAATTTGAGGAAAGAGAATGAACTAAATAAAGGGATCAGAAAAGGCTTCATGTAGGCAGGTGGTGACACCTGAGCTGAGGCTTGAAGAAAAGCTTTCAGGGCTTCAATAGGACAGGTGTGAGGAAGGAGACAGCCTAGCAGAACCAAAGCACTTTGTAAGCCTTAAAGTAACAACTCAGTCAGTTTGTTAAGAGTTTGTTGGGGCAGCTAGGTGGTGCAGTGGACGGATCGGCAGCCCTGGAATCAGGAGGACCTGAGTTCTAATCTTACTGCAGATAAATCACATTTTCTAGTTGTGTGACTCTGGGCAAGTCACATTGTCTCCCCCCCCCCCCAAAAAAAGGAATTTGTTGTGCTAAACAAATTTGTCTTACGAATTATTTGTTATGTACATGGGACGATACTAACCACCAGGGACATCAAAATAAGATAACTCTTGCCCTCAGGCAGCTTATAAACCTAAATAAAGATTATGTACTTATTCCAGAATGGGGATTAAGTTAGAAACCTGTGTTCTTTTCTGTAGAATATCTGGAGAAGAATGAAGGTAGAAACAAAGTAGTAGCAATGATCAAATGAGCAAGCAGATCAATCCTTAATTGAAAGAAGAAAAATGGAATTCGTAGATGGGGGTTGGGAGTGGTGAGTGGTTTATATATCCTATGACACTATATCTCATAAAGGTCAAGATTTATCCACTATTTCCAAAGATCTCAAACTTTCAACCTCTTCTATCAATGAAAATCAAGGTTTTAATGCCAAACAAGAAAGCTGGAGAATCACAAATACTGACACATTTTTAAATGAGCAAAAAATAAAACAAAAAATAAATGAACTTGCCAGGTATTTGTCCTGTCCAAGAACTTTCATGCAAGTTTTTAGTATGCTGAATTGTAAATCAAAATGTATTTCTATTTTCATCACTTCTTTGTTGTTGAAAAGAAGAAGAGATTTCTTCAGGTAAACAACAAGCACCTTCTTTTTTCCAACTTCTACTAAAAGAAAAAAAAGAGGAGGACACATTATATAGCAGGCATATCGAAAGACTTGTTTTACTGTTCATAATTCCAAATTACTGAATGAGAAAATGTTTGCTCACCATTGCTATCTACCCAAATTTTCTAGAATAAGTACTTGCATAGATCTGAGACTGAATAAACTTCTTGGTCAGTCATTTCAGTTGTGTCTGACTTTTCATGACCTCATTTGGGGTTTTCTTGGCAAAGATACTGGAGTGGTTTGTCTTCTCCAGCTCATTTTACAGCTTGAAGAAACTGAGGCAAACAGAGTTAAGTGACTTACCCAGGGTCACATAGCTATAAGTGTCTAAGGCCAGATCTGAACTCAAGAAGATAAGTCTTCTGGACTCTAGATTCAGTGCTCTAACCACTGTATCACCTAGCTGCCAAATGAAATTGGGGGTGGGGGGGGCTTTTTAAAAAACTGTTTTATCAGATTCCAACACTAGTGTCAATGATAACCCTAGGCATCCAGTCTGTCTTTTGACTGGAAAGGATGAATGAACCTTTTACATCATCACAAAGTAGTCTGTCAGCCTCTGACTTTTAAAAATAACCTTTTATTTTTAGGTAAATATCAGATGAATGGTTTATGGGCTACTTGGTGGGGAAGGAGAGGAAGTAGAGACTTTATAAATTGTTCTGTAAATTGCTGGATAGACAAAAGTTTCTTGTAGGCATTGAATATTAAGTGAACTCTCCAAAACAAAGGGAAAAAGTTGTGAGGTGTATCTTCGGTACTTTCCTACTTTCTTTTCTAGTTCCTTCTCTCTCCTCTCTTCCTAGGTACTGGGGGCCCTTGTGATTCCCTTCCCCTTCCTACCAAGGTCGCTCAGGCCCATTTGCTGTGTGGTCAGTACAGAATCAACTCAGAAGACCTGACCCTCAAATACAGTGTGCTTGGATACCACTAACACCAATACTGCCTCAATCAGCTGTGTCCCCAAAAGTAGGGCAACTCTTGAGAGGCCCAGCAACTGCTCCTTCACCCTGCTCTGAAAGGGATTCTAATATTAGGTACAATGAATTTGGAATCAGAGGACCTAGGTTCAAAATCTGCCCGTGTCACCTTGGAAAAATCCTTTAATCTCTCTGGGATTTGATTTCCTCACTGTAAAATGAGGGGGTTGGCCCCTAAAGGTCCCTTTCCAGTCTGAAAAAAATCTATGATTATCCCATAGGTGTCCTGAGTGGGAGACATTAAATTCCACTTGTGTATGCAATGCAATACTTTTCTGAGTTGGTTTCACTTCTACTTTCAAAAAAAATTTTTTTCAACTACCAGACATTTTTTTCCTTTCTACCTCCCACATCTGAAAAATAAGAAAAGTAAAGAAAAAAGAAATTTAAAAAACTCTTGTAACAAGTGTATCAGGAAAAACAAATCCCTATATTGGATATATCCATAAAAGTATGTCTTACTTTGAATAGTCCATCACTTCTCTGTCAGGAGATTGGCAGCAATCATGAACACCTATTTTTAATCAAAGTACATTTCCAAGTTGACAAAACACAAATAAAATTTATCCCTAATCCATTTTATTATGTATATATACATATATATGTACATATAGTTATATGTATGCACATACACACATGAGTATATATGTGAATACGCACACATTTTTCCCCTTGGACTGGACTTGTGATAACAAAGGTATAGGAAATTCCCAATGAGAAAACTTCCTCCAGTAATACAGATAAACAGCTTCTCTTCAACTATAGTCTTAGTAGCTTATAGCACTAAAAGATTAAATGACTTGCCCAGGGGCACACAGTGTCTGAGGCTGGATATGAACTCGTCTTCCTGACTCCAAACCGAAGACTCCAGCCATTGCCTCATCTAGCTGCCTCTAGATGGGGAAACAAAGGACAGGTAGTTTTCACAGAAATGGGACTAGACAGTACTAGAACAGGGACTGGAATGGGGGCAGCGAGGTGGTGCAGTGGATAGAGTTCTGGGCCTGGAGTCAGCAAGATTCATCTTTCTGAGTTCAAATCCAGCCTCAAACACTTACTAGTTATGTGACCCTGGGCAAGTCACTTAACCTTGTTTGCCTCACTTTGCTCATCTGTAAAACGAGCTGGAAAAAGGAATGGATAACAATTTCAGTATCATTCATTGCCAAGAAAACTGCAAGCAGGGTCATGAAGAGTCAGACATGACTGAATAACAACAGGGACTAGAACCCAGGTCTTCCAACTCTTGATCTAGTGCTGTTTCCACAGTTGTATGCTGTCTTTCTTAGATCTTAAGCAAAACAAGAATCCAAAACAATAATCCTCTCATCTACATCAGCTGCACATTTTCTAACAAATTCCAGGTCTAAAGCACAGGTTAATTTAGCTGATTTATCATAATGACAATGATAGGAAGGCCTAGAAGGATGTGCCCAGACTCTGCAGTAGTGACTGGTCCTTCTATTCTCCCTTTGCCTTGGAGGAGGGGTACGGGGTGTGTTCAGGGAAGACTAGAGCCTCTAGTGTGAGGGCTGCTTTCCACCCTTGGTGTCCACCTGTTCCACCTAACTCTCACCTATGGCTCCAAGAAACTGTAGCATGCACAGTGGCCACACGCCAGTAAACCGTTTTGGCAGACCAACTAAGCCAGGTCGAGGGTAACCCAGGGGTCTCAAACCCATCGGTGAGTTAGGGGAATGTCTACCCCAACCATGTGAAGACATCCCCTAGTGGAATGGGTGGATGAGAACAATTTGTTCCAACAGCCACGAAGGCGGCTGAGGCAGGCACTTGAGGTGTTTGGGAGGCTCTGAAGGAAAGTACGGAAGAGAAGTATTAGACTGACTACCAGACTGAAGGTCTACTGAGCTGTTGTGCTGACCTCATTGTTGAAAGCCTGTGAAACCTGGACAGTATACCAGAACCACACCAGGAAACTGAATCGCTTCCATTGGAATTGTCTTAGGAAGATTCTGAAGATGACCTGGCAGGATAAGGTACCAGACACTGAGGTCTTTTCTCGAACTAAACTGCCACACATTCAAACTCTGCTTCAGAGAGTGAAGCTCTGATGGGCTGGTCACGTTGTTCGAATGCAAAACGTATGCTTGCCAAAAAAACTATTTTATGGAGAACTCACACAGGGCAAGCGTTCACACGGCGGTCAGAAGAAGCAATACAAGGACATTCTCAAGAACTTTGGAATTGATTGTGTGACATGGGAGAAGCCGGCACAGGACCACTCAGCATGGCGTGCCCACATCAGAGACGGTACTGTGCTCTATGAGCAAAGCAGAATTGAAATAGCTCAAGAGAAATGCAAGATACGAAAACTTAGAGAATCCACCCCAAAGGTTCACAGGGACTATTTGTGCCCGACCTGTGGTAGAACATTCCAAGCTCGTGTTGGTCTGATCAGCCACAGTCGGACACACTAAAACTTGACTCTAGCACAGTGATGTCATTTTGGTACTCCTCGAGAATGAAGGACAACCATCAACCAAGCCTTGGAGGAGAGGAGGGATCGGGGTGTGGGCAAGACACTCAGCACCTCCTTCTAGGCGTGCTTCTGATCAAGGTATTACCTTTTATACTGAAACCACGAACTGCTTCCTTTAGAAGTCTTACTGCGTCCCACAGTTCACCCTTAAAAAAAAAAATAAAGGAAACACGTACATAATACTTTCACCCAAACTATCTAGAAGCATTTTGATCTACTCAAATGTAGTACAAAAACAACCTTTACCTCAGCATTATCTATATAGAAAGTTATGCTCTGACTTCCTATATTAAAATCAATCCAAAATTTCTCCAGGTTTTCATCATGTGGTTTCCTCACCTGAAAATAAAGACCATTTCTATCATACATGTGCATTCTCAAAAGTCAAAGTAAAATAAAAAAAGAAAATCTTTCTGAAAATACCCACTTGGTTAAAAAAAGAAACTAAGGTAGAACTATAGTAATAGAGTTATTTATTTCACAGTGACCATTTTGCTTGCTTCCCCAAGACATTAATGCTTCATTTTTATCTATATAGAATGGTGGGCAGTCATCAGTTGTGCCATAAGAAATAATAAAAGGGATAGTTTTAGAGAAAACTGCGAAGATTTATACAAATATATGCAGTGAAGCTAGCAGAACCAAGAAAATAATTTACAAAACATCATAAACAACTTTGAAAGACTTAGGAACACTGATCAGTGCAAAGATCAACCACAATTTCAGAGAATCAATAGTGCATGCTACCTACCTCCTGATGCAGAAATGATGGACTGATTCAAAATGAGACATACTTTTTGGACATGGTCCGTGTGGGAATTCATTTTACTTGAATATTACATACATATACACATACACACACACACACACACATATATATATATATAAACATATGTATATGTTTGTTATAAGGTTTCCCCCCTGCAATGGGGGAGGACAGGTAGTAGAGAAAATAAATGCTTGTTAATTGAAAAAAAATTTTTTTAAGAAAGAAAAGGGGAAGCTAGGTGACAGTGCATAGAGCACAAGCCCTGGAGTCAGGAGGATCTGAGTTTAAATTCTACCTCAAATACTTACCATCTATGTGACCCTGAGTAAATCACTTAACCCCAATTGCATCTTTAAAAAGAAAAAGAAAGGATGGTAGACATTTCAACACTGACTACAGGCTGATTATCTACAGGGCTGTACTGTTTCTCAGTAAAAATACAAAGAGAAAATTGTAAATCCCCAAATTACCGCAGCAAACTTCTCAAAAATCGTTTGTGGATCAATTAGATTACAATGATCCTTTCTCCCTCAGACTTCACAAAGTGCTTTGTTTTGTAACTCTTTAAAGTGTTTTGTATTACAGTTATCTGTGTATGTCATGTAGGGGTGTCATATCCCCCACACTAGACTAGGAAGAAACTAGGAAGGTCTTATCTAAAACGTATCGCTCCCAGTGTTTACTGCTGTGCTCAGCATTTTTTTCCAGCCTTGTCTCTGATTTCATGGTATAACAACAACAAAGCTAGCACTTATAGAGTACCTTGTATGAGCCAGGCACATACATTTTTGTGCATAACTAATGTGAGGATTTATTTTGCCAAACTAGGCATATTTATTATGAATTTTTCTTTTTTTCCATTGTTCAATAGAGGACACAGTGCAGGGGGGTGGAGGGAGGACATAAACGCTTGTTAAAATTAAAAGAATAAAACAACATGGGGAAACTTTTGGAATAGGGGATATAACTTAGTTGAAATTTAAGTGCCTAAGAATGAACCCACTTGAAACAAGAAAGCATAAAGAAGAGAGAACCAAAGATTTTAGACTTCCTGCAGGAAGTTCTTCGTGCCCAGCCACCCCATGTGTGGAGTTTCTTTACGGACCTCGATAGAGTCTAGGGTTTTCTTTGGTTAGAGTTCATGACCCTACAGTTTATAGTCTATACTTCGGAAGAAATTATTCTCATCTTTCCTGGGCAATTTTCCATGGGCCCTGAGTGACTCCGAAGAAAACAGATATTCCAGTTTATTTCCAGAGACCTTGTCCTATGCCTACATAATTTTGTGACAGACAAAATTGCATTATAAATGAATCTTCAAACTGTGGTACATCGATACAGTGAAATATTAATGTGCTATAAGAAATTACGAATATGATTTATATTACATTAACTGATGTAAAGTAAGCAGAGCCAAGAAAATGATATACACAATGAATATAGCTACATAAATGGAAAAAATAACAACAAAAAAAAACAACTGAAAGTGGACACTACAGAGTTAAAAAGAATGAGCCTGACCCTCAAAAAGAGATATGAAAAGACAGCTCCTACCCATTCTTTTGCAGAGCTATTACAAGGAAAGTGCCTGGGATAGCATTAGGGTGAATGAATTTGTCAAAGTGTTATTTCTCCTAGGAATATTTAAATTTTTAATAATCCCTCTATACAATTAAATAAAAGGCATTATTTTCTGTTTTGGTCAGTCAAAAAGTATTTATTAAGTTCTTATTATGTTCCAAGCTCTGTGCTAAGAGCTGGGGATATAAAAGAAGGGTAAACACAGTCTCTGGCTTCAATTCTAATGGGGGAAACAATATGAAATATATATATGTATATATATGTATGTATGTGTGTGTGTGTGTGTGTGTGTGTGTGGAAAGAAAACAGACTAATAGAAAAGATTTACAAAATTTTATAATTAAACTCATTTTGCCACCAAAGACAGTAAATCAAGCCACATTTGAATTTTAACCTTATAGTCTCAGCTGTGTTTATACCATTAAATATAAGACACACACTTTCTCTAAGGAAGATGATATGGGAGAGGAAGGCAGGGGTAGGGGGAAAAGGAGGTGGAGGTGGGGAGGAGGACCTGGAAAGGCCTCTTTCAGATAATGAAGATTTCAGTAGAAAAGCTTAAAAGAAGCCAGTGAATTGCAGAGGCAAGGAAGAAGCATAATTTGTATAAATATCAAACATTATCAATTAGGTGGGAAAAATATTTTGGCAAAGAATATCCTTCTTGGCCCCTGAAATTACATTGTGTTCGAGTTCATTTATTCTGCTTGTGAATAAGAATTGTCCATCACTATTCCCATGATTAAGAGTGTTTCCAAAGACTAAGGTTTTTCATGGTAAAAATTTCAAAAGTAAAACTTACGCATACCTTATTCGCTGTGATATGCTCCTGTTTCCACATTATAATTTGTTTTTCTCTATTTAATCATCCTTGTTTGCCCCCTCTACATTCACTAACTTGATTGAGGAGTCCTCGCCTGTAACCACTACATCAAAAGTCCCAGCCAGGCTACTAATGTCCCTCCCCACTCACCCTCTGACCTGTTCTGCCTCTATCCCAGCTGTCTCACTTCCACCCCTCCATCCCATGATAACACCCTGTGGCCTACTGTATAACTTAAATTTGTTTTCATTGATTGCCATACCATTTTTCTTCCAATTTTGCATTAATTCTGATCTTTGTTCTAACAAGTTGGTGGTCTGACGATATATGTAGCTGGTTTGGTCAGGACTCCCAAATCAGTAACGAGTCACTTACTGTCCTTTAAAATAGAATCAATTTCTTTTCTTGTCATGTTACTTGGTGCATGCTCAGTCTAAAATTTTCTGATTCTTTTTAAAAAGAAAGTATTAATTATGATTAATTGGGAGTCTTCTGTCTCTGTCTGTCTCCTCTTCAGTCTTTTCCAACCACCTCATCTAGTCCCTCCTCTCTCCATTAAAGTTTCCAAATACCAACAAATACATTGATACTTTGCAGGATCTTATCAAATACTTCACATATGTATTCTTTTATATCTTCCATCCTGTGCAAGAGACGCATATACAAACTGCAATTAAAATGACTTGGTTCCTCCAGTGGTATGTAACTAGTCAAAAATCTCACCTTTAGAATATCAACAGTTGAGTTAATGGTTATAGATTATAGATAGACATAGATTATAGATAATCTAAGAACTTTGTAGTAGTTAGCACTGTCTTCTCCCTTTTTCCATCATCCTACTACCATCACTACATAAATGGAAGGCAGCTTCATAGAACTGAATGTGACTTTGTGTTTTTCTTTGCTTATTAAATTGCCACAGCCAAATCATTGATCACCAAGTAACCAAACAATTGGTGGCATAGCTTTCTGTACTTAGGTAGGTTGTTTTGACAAAGTCCACTTGGGATATAAGTGGGTTGCTGGGACTCTATTTCAAGTATGGTATAATCTTTTGACTGGTACAGTTTTTAGGAACTGCAGATCACATCCACATGCCATAATGAGGCAATAGAGTAAGATTTTCTGGCAATTTTACCATACAAATAATAAAATAAGTTTCATGTTCATAATTAAATTGACTGTATGCAATGACCATGCATGGCGGGGAGGGGAGAGAAAAGGAGAGGGAAATAATATTACCTCATAGCCATCGACAAAGGCAGCAATACATGGAAATGTATAAACCCTGCAAAATACCACGCTATTAGAAAAATACGATTTGAACCAAAACAAAAATTTAGAAGCTTTATAAACAAATGCTCTCATATAAATCAGGTATGTTGTTAAATCCCTTTGGACAGAGTTGGGCAAAGATTCCAACCAACAAATCTCAAAGCTGGTTGCTAATGAAGTTAGTCAAAATCTCTAACAGGGAACGGAATACATCTAGGATCATAAATAGAGAGGTAAAAGGAGCTGGAAGCCCTCTAGTCCATTTCTCTCATTTGACAGATTCATAAAACTGAGGACCACAGAAGTTAAGTGACTTGCCCAAAGTCACGCACAGAGGTAGGATTCAAACCCAGGTCCTCAAATTTCAAAGCCAATGCTCTTTTCATTTGTTCTTCTAAAATATCAAGGATACTTCTAAATCCTACTGCTACCAATAAGCCCAATGGTATTCAAATTGAGATTCTTACCTTCTTTTATCACCAAGCTTATCATTTAGGCAATTAAGAAATCTTCTACTGTCCTTCAATATAAAGCAAGTGGTAGAATTGTTATTTATCTGTTTAAATTAAAGATTGAGATTATAAACCAAATTCTTATTGGCTTGTATTTTACTTTTAGAATGCTGATGAAGAGAAATTTTTCACAACCCCAAAAAAATTCAAAGGAAAATAAGACTGCTTTATCAAGGTCCACAAAAATCAGAATTACCACAAATTCCAAGAGGGCAGATAGATATCTGGGACATTTTTCTAGAAGAATATTTTTCTTCAAGGGAAAGCTTAGGTTTCCAGGATGATACATGTTGCCATTTTTTACTCCCTTGGGAAGGCAAGCCTGTTCTTTTCACCATGTTATGTTATAGTATTTCATTTTCCATTTTAAGTTTCTTCTCTCCCTCCTCTAGTCTACTTTTTTTAAAAAAATTTTTGAAATTTTTTTTTTGCTTTTTAGTGAGGTAATTGGGGTTAAGTAACTTGCCCAGGGTCACACAGTTAGTAAGTGTCAAGTGCCTGAGGCCAGATTTGAACTCAGGTTCTCCTGACTCCAAAGAGCTCTATCCACTGTACCATCTAGCTGCCCCTCCTAGTCTACTTTTGATGACACATGAGCATAGATCATCTACTCAAATGAATACTTTCAGAGGTATTTGCCCAGTTCTTTTCTAGATCCCTTCACCCCATTATCAGATGGTAAGTACTCTGAAAGCATACTTTCATTTTTGCATTTGCCTAGAACAAAAGCAGCTAGGAGGATAAACCTTCCATTCTCTGATCCCCAAAGCACATTCCAAATTATTTATTCCAGTTATTTCTGATTATTCTTGCCTCTATTCCCTTTCATTATCAAGAAAATACTACATTTACTTCTACTAAGACTCCTCATTTTCCGTGTCATTTCTTTGAGTATTAAGGGGACATATTGTTTATATATATATGTATATATGTATTTTTCATATAAAAGAGACTACCATTTTTTTTCTTCACATCAATTAACATCTTGACTGATTTCCGGAGCAATCTATCTTCTCCTATTCCCTTCCCTCAACCCTAATTTTCCCATTGTGATTATCTGTCCTATGGAAAAACAAAGTGCCAGGCCGAAACGTGAATCTATAGCTACCATTTGAAAAAAAAAATCATTCTATGACCTTTAAGGGTAGACCAAGTGCTAGGAGGAACCTTAGTAGTCATATGAGATAAAAAAAAAATATTGAAAACTTCAGATTTAATTAAAAGTATAAAATACTACCACCCCAAACACAATTTTTGTTCAAGATGAGCAAAGGGACATCACAGGCTGTCTTATAGGTAAAAAGATGGTATTCTCCAAAGGATCCAATCCCTCGCATTTAGCCTCCTCAATCTTGACTCCTTAATTTCATATAATGATTTATTTCAGAATGCCAAGTAAATTGGACAACAAAATTCTAGCAGTTAATGTTGCTCTATTCCAGAGGTACACATGAGGATAGAATGGCCCATTCACTTGTTCAAAATATTCTACTAGGCTTAAGTTGTTTGGAAGCAAATTGATCAATTTTTCCCTCTAGACTATAGAGGATTCGGAGCAGTTAGGTGGTACAATGGATAGAGTTCATTTTCCTGAGTTCAAATCTGGCCTCAGATACCTACTAGCTGTGTGACCCCGGGCAAGTCGCTTAACTTTGTCCGTCTCAGTTTCCTCATCTGTAAAATGAGCTGGAGAAAGAAATGGCAAACCACTCCAGTATTTCTGCCCAGAACACCCCGAATGAGGTCACAAAGAGTCAGACAGGACTGAACAACAAAATAGAGGATTTGCAATTTGCAAAGCCCATGTTCCTTGGATCATGCAGTGTAATTCCTACATTCAACAACAAGCCAATCTCCTTTGTGTCCACAAACACATTATGAGAATTTTCACCTTTCATTGCTTTAGTTAAGTTCCCTCCAACTCTAGATTGCTGTAGCTCTTATATCTCCTAAACCTATCTAACCTTCAAAGTTCATTTCGAGTCACAGCCTCTTCCATCAAGTATTCCAACTCTGTCTGATTTACCTGCTCTCTGATATCCTAGAGCACTTAGAGGAGCGCTTGCCCACAGGACCTATTTTAACATACTATCTTAAATTGACTTTTTGTCTTATACATATAGGTCTCCAGTAATAGTTTAAACTTCTCAAGCTCTGCAATCATGATCCAAGACATTTCCAAAGGACTCATGATGAAAAATTCTATCTGCCTCCAGAATAAGAACTGGTGGCATCTGAATACAGACCAAAGCGCACTGTTTTTCACTTTCTTTATTCTTTCATTTTTTTTGGTTCAAGTTTTCTTCCACAAAATGACCAATATGAAAAATGGGTTTTACCTGATTGCACATGTATAATCTGTATCAGCTTGCTTACTGTCTCAGGGAGGGGCAAGAGGAGGGAGAAGATAGAATTTGGAACTCAAAAAATTTTTTTTAATTGTTTTTATATGCAATTGGTGAAAAATTAAATATTTTTAAAAGATTTGAGACCATATCTCTTGCACTTTTTTGTATGCCCCATGGTATCTAGGTGCTTAATATCTGCAAAATTGAATTTTCTAGATAGGGTCTCTTACAGTCTCAAATTCTCTGTCCCTTATCTCTTTGAAAGCTACAGCAACGATGTCATCTTCAAACAATCTATGGGCAAGGTCAGCTTGGGACTTTTTACTCATCATCCTGCACAAGGCTTCGGAAAGAGCAACTTGCAGATCATAATCTAAGGATAAGAAAATATCAGAAATGACTATATTCTAAGCATAGAGTAAAAAATGGTTCCCCAAAACTTTTTTCTTAATTGCACTTAATTGCCCTCAAAAATTCCCTCTTCAGAAACCAGCATTGCTTCCTTTTATTAAGAGAAGTAAAAATTTGCTTCACTATCATAGAGTATTTTGGTACTACCTTGTAACCTACCCAACTATACATATAGATTCAAGGCCCATAGAATAAAGGGATATTAGAAGAATCCTTAAAATGCAAAAAGATGCTTAAAAGTATCTATAAAAGCATACATTTATAACTAAAAATTTTAAATCAAGTTTGTTAAAAGTTTCTATGGAATAGAATTATAATGCAAGATTATCCAAGATGGCTTCCCACAGTAACTGAAATATGGCTATTTTAGTTATTTTGTATTATCAAAATAAAATCTCTTTTAATTTGATGTGAATTTAATTCTCACAGAAGGATAACAAACAACACCATAAAAATACACCAAAGCATGTCTAATTAATAATGCTTCTAAACATCTTACCACCTATGTCCAGAATTGCCCTGGCAAGGCCTTCCCTGAAAAAAATTAATATACATGAGTTCATTTAAATCACAGAGAACAGTAAAGCCTTATCTATAAGCATTAGATCAAATTAGATAAAATTTTATCTACAATAAATAAAAAAACAAATTAAGGATGTTTTCAGGTTCAGTACAAAAATTATAGGCTATTTTTGAAGAAAAAAATATTTCCTGAACACATATTAAATGGTTACATGAAAGGTTTAAATAAGTAATGAATTTGCTTTTTACAGCCAATTAAGGTATAATAAATAGCCAATTGAGGTATTTATAGATGAAGGTGAGATTCCAGTTATGGTGCCTTCTCGGTGCCTCAGTTTTTTCATCTGATAATTGAAGCATCTGAGATCTTTAAAATCCTGGGTCTATGATTCACATCTCTTATAAGGAATGGTCATTTATACTTATTGCAAGCATGTCTGTCATCTAATGGAAATTAAGTTTCTCCAAGACACCTCTGATAGTTGGTGCATGATATACATGGTCTGCATTTGATAATTTATCAGTTTGAAAATCAAGCTAAACTTTAATTTGGGAATTTATGACATTTCAGTTATTAAATAAAGTTATAACCACCACATCATCCTAAATTACATATTTTCTATGGTTCAACCAAGCCCAAAGTAAAAAATGAAACATTTGGTAAAGTCATTTTTTTAAAAAATCCAAAATAATTTAAAACTCTATTTTATAGGTATCATTTAAAAAGTCTTATGGGAATTTCAAACTAAATAAACATTAGTTCTAAGTAGTCAATTAGTCAAATAATTCATGCCTATTTAATTAAATTCTAAAGAAGAAAATTCCAAAACAGTAATATAAGCAGTGCTACTTAAAAATGAGCTGTCTAGTTTTGCCATATCTCTGACCCCCACCTATAGTCTAAAGCCAGAAATATTTTGAATTACTCAAAAACATACTTCTAAAACTAAGTATAGGCAGCTTATGTCATAATTATAAGACTATGTTAAAAACTATTAAAAAATTGGAGGAAATGATCCCAAATATCTGAATATACAATTAAAATTAGTGAAATCACATCTAAGCAGAACCATAAAAGCATCTTTTCCAATTTGATCTTACATTGTAAGAAAGCCTCAATTGTAAAATGGGGATGACAATAATAATATTTATACTCACTGCCTCAAGGTTCTTGGAAGGAATGTACTTTATAAACCATAGTGCTATATAAATCTGAGAATTTCTTATCCAAAGCCCAATTCAACCACTGTCAAAAATCCTTATATGTTACTGATAATCTCCAAGCTAAATTCACCATTTTAATAATCCAGTTCTGATACCTAGGAGTCATCTTCAACTTCTCACTCTTACTGTCACTTGTCCTGTGTAATCAGTTGCCAAATTCTTGTCGACCCCCTTTTCTCCACATCCCTGGGATCCCTTTCTTTCCTACTCATACCACAATCATCCTAGTCCAAAGCTTTCATCACCTCTTACTTAGACCATTGCAATAGTCCAGTACTCTAGTTGATCCCTGCCTCCAGTCTCTCCCAGCCTCTAAGCCTCTACATAACAACAAAATGTCCTAAAGGAGAGTACCTTGTCACTCCTCAGCTCATAAAGCCTCGGTGGCTTTGCACTGAATTTAGACTAAAGACAAACTCCTCTATCTGGCCTTTAAAGGCCATAACAACAAACTAGCCCCAGTGTATCTTTGCAGCCTCATATATTGCTCTATTTCCTACACTCTCCAAATCGGGGAAACTGTCTTTCAGTTTCTTACATGGGACACTCCGTCTCCTTCTCCATGCCTTTATACTGGCCATCCCCCATACCTGTAATATACTACTTCCTCACCTCCACCTCAGAGAATCTCTCTTCCTTAAAGGCACATCTGTCTACTCAAAGCCTCTCCTAATCTCCCAACTACCAGAGTCTCCTCTCCCTAACTGCCTCATATTTATTTTGTATTTGTTCTGCATATACTTGTGTATACATGTGTATATGTATATGTCTCCCCAACAAAATACAGGCTCCTTGAGGCCAGGGATTGTTTCATTTTTGAATCTGTATCTCTAGATAGCACAGTGCCTCGCACAGTTAAGGTGCTTGATACATGCTTGTTAATTGATTCATTTTCTTATGCTATCTGGAGATCCCATAATTAGTGACTCAAGAGACCATCTCTCCCTGAGCACCTAATTTTCCAGGAAAAAAAAGTGTCTCAGGGCCTGAAGCCTAACAAAGTACACAATATAATATTCCAGATTGTGATAAAATATAAAGCACTTCACAAATCTTAAAGCACTATATAGATGTTAGCTATTGTAGCTATACTATATCATATTTTTTGTTGTATTATATCATATTATATCCTTTGTAACATCCCACAATTGGCTATGAGGCTACTTACATAAGAAAGCACCTGTTTTCTGATAAAGGAAATTTCTCTCTCTCTCCCCGAGGTACTTTTTCCAAGATGGAGTTCAAAGTCCTTAGACCCTTTTAAAAGAAACACACACACACACACACACACACACACACACACACACACACACAGAGTGGTGAAGTATCATAGAAAGCCATATGATTCCCCCCTCCCCCGCCCCGATTTCCTAAACATTTCTATGATCTAGAGCTGAAAGTCATCTGAAAAGCTATTTAGCCCAAATGCCTTATTTTGCAAATGAGGAAACAGAAGATCAAGGGAGGTTAGGCCACCCGTCAAGTCCCATATCCAGTAAATGCCCCGAGTCAGATTAAACTCAGGTCCTCTGACTCTACCTCCAGTCTTTCCACCACATGATGCTTATCACCATTTTGTCATCAGTTTTAGCATACCTCCTGTCGAATCAAATAATTAATAGTCTTGTTTGCCACTAGCAGTCCTAAGTTAAATAAGAATGAATCCAAGAGCTGGCTTTTTCCTAAAAGCAGAATTAAAATATCAATGAGGCGTACAAAAAAAAGTAACAATGTAACTATTACCAAACTTAAAATATCCCAAGATGGCAGGAACCTGGGCCATCCTAAGTAAAGTTGCAAACAGGTTTGCTGTTGACACCCAACGACTTTCCTTTCTATACTCTTTTGCTCTTTTCAGTGCACTGAACCCACCACATATACACTCCTCCCAAGTGCTTTCATGATAAAAGTCATGTGTGCTAAAGCATTTGGGATGGGCTTCCTCTGTAGGGTAATGAGCAAGTTAAAAGAAGACCTTTGGAATGGGCAATGAATCTCTAATAGTGGCATTTCAGGTGCTGGCGTCTGTACAGGAGAGAGACCTTGGGGGAGGCAGGTACTTCTAGTCTTGGTCAAATCACACATTACATAGGCAGATGAGTAATTGTTTGATCTTGACATGAAAATGTAATTTCTCATTGTCTCATAAATCATTGTCCTAACCTGGGCTGCATTAGGCTCATATTTGCAGTTCTATGCTGAAGGATAGTTATTAACTTCAGACAGGCCCTGGTCTTTCTGTTTTCCTTCTGTAAGGATACTAGAGAATGTAGACTACCGCTAAGCAGGAATTCATGCAATTCATGTTCACAAATAAAGAGTATGATTCTACTGTAACAACAAGGTTCTGTAGAGTAAAGCCATTTAATATTTTTAACTTCTATCAGGGTGGGGAACCTGTGACCTCGAGGACACATGGGGCCCTCTAGGTCCTCAAATTTGGCCATTTGACTGAATCCAAACTTCACAGAACAAATTTGTCAGTCAAAGGACCACACTTGAGGACCTAGAGGGCCCCATGTGGCCTCCAGGCCCCTGCTTACACTTTGAATTCCAGCCCCTTCCCAGGTGCCACAGCCTTTGGCCCTCCCTAACTACAATCATCAAACCATGAACCACCTGTTCCCTAAGAAGCTCCCATTTCACCAATATCCTAGTTAAACCTCTGGGCCATTTTTCTCTACAAGCTTATTCCTTTGCATGACAGCTAGCAAATTCCAGTGTCCACTCCTCCAATTGCTTACATTGGAAACTGCTGTCTGCCTGTGCAAAGACCTCTTTCCCCTGTTACCAGGACTTTAATTCTCCCCCAAACCTACCATTCCCTATTCTTACCCTCCTCTGGCCACCCCTTCTAGTATATATGTCCTCTAGAGCTCCCACTCTATTGTTAAAATTCTTCTTCACTCCTTTCATCTTATTATCACCTACAGATATCCTTCCATATTCCCCCAGGCTATTAGCAAAGTTGAGGAGGACGATTAGGAAAACAGTTAGGAAGTACCTCCCCAATAAAGTGAAAAAACTCCTGGCCTTAGCATTGAAGGCCCTCTACAAACTGACTCCAAGCTACTGGTTCAGCCTTATTTCATGTTTCAAATAAGCTAGATCATTCTCTATTCCTTCTTCCTAATCAACCTTTACATGTAATTCCCAATTCCTGGAATGAAATTCATTCTCTCACCCCTGGACCCCAGTCTTATTCTGGGAAGTCTTTTCATTCAAGGCCAAACTTAGGGGCTTCTTTCTCAATATAACCCTCCCTGACCCTTCAAGAAGGTGAGGTCTCCTTTCAAAAATTTCTCATAGCGCTTGACCTTCCTGCTCTCATCATACTCTCTTCCTGGCAGTGTAGTTATTTTGTACCTAGCTATTCGTTACCACCCTAGTAGAGCAAGATCCTTGAGAATAGAGTCTCTCTCCTATCTATTTCTGTATCTCCCACATCTAACAGATCGTTATATATAGTAAATGTTTAACAATTATTTGTTGAACTTAATTTGACTTTTCCTTCTTGCCTTGCCCCTCCACGTATATACAGTTAGCACCCTAGTCTAGGCCCTGCCATGCTGGCATCTCTGCCTCCAGCCTCTCCTCTCATCAATCGGATCACTGCTAAAACAATCTTCACATTGCATAGATAGATCTGATCACAGCCCTCCCTTGCTCAGAAACCTTCAATAGATTCTCCTTGCCTAGAGAATAAAAACCAGATTCCTCATCCCATTATACATCTTTCTCCACAATCAGGCTCCAACATCCTTTTTAGTCTTTTTTCCACAATACATTGGCTCAACCATCTAGACAAAATGAGTTACTAACTGCTCTGATCTAGTCCCTCTCTTCTTAGGGCAATTGTACAGGTCAGTCACCATGCATGAATAGCCTCCATCCTTTTGAGGTCCAGCTCAGGTGCCAGTAGCTCCATGCATCCTGCCCTGGTTCCCACAGCTAGAATTCCCTCTTCATTGAATCTCTTACGTTGCTCTGCCTGATATTTCTCATGTGCTTAATAATCTTCTCACAATATAGTTCTACACTTCCACTTTGCTGTAAACTTTAAGGTAAATGTGAGCTATTATTTTATTAATTGTTAGTTTTTTTCATCTTTCTATCCCCAAGGCCTTGCAAGTATTGTGTTCAATAAATACCTGTTGAACTAAATCAGTCCCCCAGAGCTTAAGCATCCTTGGGTAAGTTCCATCAATTAATCAACACGTATTTGCTAAGTGCCCACTATGTTCTAAGCACTGTACTACAGGGAAACAAAAGAAGGGAACAGTCCATCATAAAGAGCTTACGTTCCAATGGAAAATGCAAGTACATAAACACAGCATAAATATAACATGAATAAATACAAAATAGTTCAGTATTGGCTAGTTTTGAGAAAGAGAGCATTAGCAGTTGGGGGAGAGGGCAGAAAGCAGGAAAGGTTTCATGTAAAAGATGGTGACAGAGCTGCCTATTGAAGGAAGGGTGGACTTGGTGAGGCAAAGGTAAGGAGGCAGTGAATTCCAAGGATGTGGGTCAGCCAGTGCAAAAGCAAGGAGACTAAACATGGAGCATAGTGAGTTAAGAACAATGAGGAGGCCATTTTAGCCGGATCAGAGAGTGTGGGAGGGGGAGTGATGTCCAATAAAGCTGGAAAGATATGTTGGAGCAAGGTAGCAATAGGGTTTAAAGTATAACTTAAGAATTTCTATTTCATCCTAGAGGCAATACAGTTGATTGAGTTTGAGAATAGCAGGTTTAAATTTGCAATTAAGGAAAGCTGTGTTGGTAGTTCTGCGTAGGACAGACTTTAATAGGAAAAGACTCAAGGCAAGTTTTTGTTGTTTTGTCAACTAATTGTGTCTGACTGGACTCCATTTCGGGTTTTCTTGGCAAAGACCCTGGAGTAGTTTGCCATTTCCTTCTCCAGCTCATTTTACAGATGAGGAAACTGAGGCAAAGAGGGTTAACTTGCCCAAGGTTGAGGATCAATTAAAAGACTTTTGCAATAATCTAGGTGAAAGATGAGAGCCTGAACTAAGTGATAGGAAGTGAGGTGTCAGACAGGAGTGGTGTTGTGAAGAAATGATTAGATTTGGATATGTAGGTTGAGAGAGAATGAGTAGTAGAAGATAGTGTTCTTGAATATGAAAACTTGAAACCCAGACTGCGGCTTTGTGGAGAGTGCAAACAAGACACCTGAAATGCTCTGCCAGCCTTTCTGCTGATCATCTCTTAATTAAAGCAGCCAGTAATTTACTTACCCTTATGACTGCATTTGGAAATTACCTAATAAAAAGGAAAAAACATATGAAGAAGGTGAAGGAAACCATACAATAGTTTTATAAAAAAATGTTTAAAATTAAGCTTTAATTTAAATGCAAGGGTTCTCTGGACAGAGCACAAGTCCCGAAGTCAGGAGGACTACAGTTCAAATCAGACCTCAGATACTTACTAGCTGTGTGACCCTGGTCAAGTCACTTAACCCCAATTGCCTCCAAATAAATAAATGCAAAGGTTCTTAACCTGTTGATAACTGTATATCAATATAATTAGTTTTATTTATAGTTCTATGTATTTTATACATTTAAAAAGTGTTATTCTGAGTAGGGGTCCACAGGTTTCATCAGACTGCCAATGTGGTCTAGGACACAAGAAAGAATAAGAACCCATATTTTAGTTCTATCCCATCAGAAAGCAATTGGGGGGGGGGCTGATAAGTCTACTTCAATTTCAATTCCTTCATATGTCCAGAAATAAGTCCAGTTCAGTTGTTACCAATAGCCATTTTATGGAAGAAAAGAAAATCTCTTGACCTTTTCCTATAATATTCTGTTCCTAAGTCTAAATTGCCTACAAGGAAATGATTTCCATGTTAGGTAAAAGGCTCAGAATAAAGTCAGAAATATTCACAAAGCTCACATCTTACAGATACTAAAATTCTATAAAGAACCTCAAGATTCTTGAAATTTCTAGTTAATTAAATGGTATTTGGCAAATAAAATATCCATTCCCAGTCTTTTCTTACCAAGGCAGTGTTTAAAAAGCCTTCTATAACTTGAACCAAGGACATAGTTATAGTTAGTTCTCCACTGGTCAGAAATCCAATAGTTCTTTCAAACCAGGAAGCCATGTAGAAATAAAAAAAAATTAGTCATGAGTGACCACGTCACTACTCACTATTCAACTAAAAAAAAAGATTATTTTATAGAATTTCAGGCTTACAAAACAGCTTCAAAAAAAAACTGGTGTTTTTTAATCCACATTGAAGCCTCATACACAAGGAATTTCATTCTACAGTACAACAGACTTTCTATTGGACAGAGACATATGCAGGCAAGGTCATGTTGCAAGATATAGATAAAGAAAGGCAGCATGGTATGGCTTTGAAGTCAAAAGACCTGAGCTCAGGTCCTGTCTCTGACATACACTAATTGTGTGACCAGAGGCAAGGGACTTATTTACTCAAAGGTGTACTGTTAAATATTCAACAAGTGGAAGATATATGCACACATAAGTTTAAGATGCATTGCTAACACTTTAAGTCCATATAATCAACAATAAATCAAGCCCTGATTTGTAGCAATTGCCAATTTATGAGGTGTAAATACTCACACTGAAAATTTAACAATAGGCACCAAGACCAACACATCCCTAGATTCACCTCTAGTGACTCAAGTAACCCTCTATAGACAATTGCCAATCCACATCTGTGAAGGGACCTTCCACACCCAGAATTGCCTAAAATATGAAATCATAGGTCTGGACCAAAAAAACATTCAGATAAAAGGATTAGGTAGAAATTACAGGAGCTCTAAATAGTCATTTAATGCAGAGTTTCTTAAACTTCTTTCCCCACTCACGACCCCTTTTTGAGTTTTAGCAGCATTCATTGGCATTGTGTGGCCTGGTGGCCTGAGGGCATGTGCAGTGCAAAATAAGAATGCTTTGTGTTCAGAACCAAGGCTGCAGTGAAGTTGCTCGATGCAGTATCGGCAAGCACTGCCAGAAAAACCTTGGATTCATCATGTACTTGATTTTGAAATAATTTTTGGTCATTGTGCATTCAGAAACCTTTTACTGTTGCCAAATTTTTTTCGACCCCATATAGGGTTGCACTGAAAATGGATCTCCAGGGCATGAGCAACAGATAAGAATTCCAGATTTGAGCCAGTGCCTATAGGAATGAACACTTGCAGAATTCTAAACATCGATCATGCTACAAATCTGGCTACAGTCAAAACCTTTTCCTGGCAAAAAGCTTTCCAGTAATCCATTTCTTGGAGTTCAATGCAGGTGCCACCTTTTCTAACCTCTCCACCTCCCCACCCAAAGCCAAGAATTCTTTCCTACTTTCAAGTTTCCTAAAGCAATTTGTTTGGAACTCTCCTTGAGCTCTATCACCCTTCTTTTTATTATACTTATCTGTCTCCATTACCTAGCCCCCCTGTAGAATGTAAACTCCTGCTGGGCAATTAAATATTTGTTGAATTGAATTGAAGGATACATATCCAAATTTATACAGGAAGTCAATGGAAAAATGAGACTTGATTTCAAAGACTCAATTTTCAACAAACTTCTGGGGCTATCTTTAGGATTATGCTGTGGTTGTTGAGGACCCTAGCAATATTTATCAATCCAAAAAGGCAGCCCATAAGTAGAATCAACAGTGCTGGGTTAAGGGATAGGCAGGTCTGGAATGGTGATTTCACTGGCGATGCCCACATGTATCTTTCTTGCCTAGTGTCACACATAGGTCAGAGGCAGTACCCAGGTCTTCCTGGCTTCAAAGTCAGCTCTCTAGCTGCTAGGCCATTTTAACCTCTTCATGTTGTATTAACCATAATTCACCACAATGGTTTTCTTACATGAAGCATAGGCAAACAGCATCCTTACAAATTTCTCCTTGAATATGATGTTGAAACTAGTAGAAAAGATAACATCTATTTTAACATAACAGCTAAGCAAACTAATTTTTCACCTAAGAAGAAAGGGTGAGGAGAGAAAAGTGATACCTAGAAATGATTGTGATATATGACAAAAGGGGTAAGACTTTTTTTTTTTAAAAAGCCACCACCCGTGGCCATGCTCTGTTTAACTAGGACACTTATCTTTGGAATCAATCCTTGTTGAATTAACAGCTGCTCATCTTCTTTGGTATCATCTATGAAGAACCTCTGAATACATTTCAGCAACAATGAAACACACTGGAATTCATTCTTGTCCAGCTCCTGTATTTTCATGCCACGACAATGTTAATGAAGCTCAGATCAAATTACATGCTGGCATTCTATCTTCAAAAACTTGACTTGCCTTATTTATCAATCTGTCAAGATGGATTAATAGGAGTTGGTTGTATTTTTGACAAAGAGAGTTCTCTTTTTGATGCAAATATTCTTCTATTTTTTCAAATCCATGACCATGAAATGCATCAATGATAAGTGATTGCAGCTGAAAAGATAAAAGTTTGAAAATCACCTTTTCAACAAAGATTGTTAATGCATACTTGAGTTTCACAGAAAGACCATTATGACTAAAAATTCAATATGGAGATAATTTGGGCTAAAGATAAGGTAGAAGTGAAATATTCTAGAAATATTTTTCTCCAAATATTCTCCAAGCAGAATTCTAGAATTGAAAGTTTCTTTCCAATTTTCTCATGCACAACAACCAATGATTATCCTAAATAAGACTATATAAATTGAAGGAAAAAAAGATCAAGTCTTTTGGTCTTTAGACAAGTAAAAATTGCCAAATAGAAATATATTTATTCCCCTAGAGACATTACTGGTTGTAATGAAGGAGAGAAAGGTAGTTCAAAAGCAATGTTATTAGAAATAATAAGAAAGTATGAAGTGCTTAGGAAATAGGATCTTTATAAGAAATATGTGAACTAGGCATTTTCTACTCATACATTAGCTTACACCTGGCCTTTTGCTAGGTCAGGATCTCTCTGTCTCCATGTCTCTCTCTTTCTCACAAGACACACACCCCAATCATTTAGTTCCTTTAAAAATCTGAATGTGATACCTTTCACATGTTATGATACTCCAATCTTACAGCCCAAATTACATGACGAGATTGTCATGTGAATTTAACAACTTAGATATTTCCCTGTCTGCATCCTAAAACCCCATTTGTTTTAGCAAACCTGAAGTTAATATCCAATAATCTATACCTAAAATAAAATTACATAAATACATCATAAATTACAATTACTTTTAATTTCATTAATTACAACTATTAGTTTTACTACCACAGTGTAAAAAAATCAAAATGAGAGTAAATTAAATGATGTATACATAAAAAGTGCACCAATACTTGCTGTGTAAAGTAGTTAAGAGAACACAAAATAAAGTTTATCTTTACAGAGAACTCAGAAGACACATTCTCATCATCTTCAGTGATGTTATATAAAGGAGCTTTCTCATTCTTTATCTGCACATGGTAAAAAAAGAATTGTTTAAGTTTTTATTCCAATAACTTTTCAAGTAGGAAAAAAACTTCTTTATTATTATTTTTAAAATGATTCATGATATTAAAAGGTTTGTAGTTTTAGTATGAATGACAAGCATGTCAAACCTTCAAACCTTTATATAGCCATTTATAAAGGGAAAAAATACTCCCTGGTCTATTTTTTTTTGTCAACATCTGTGAGAATAAATTATCAGGAATAGCAAGCCAAAATCTCATTTCAAATGTGATTCCGCAAATAAAAATTTAAAGCTGAGGACTAAAAAACAATTTATCATTCATAAGGAAAGTTAAAATGATTTCATGAAAAACCAACTTCAAAATCAGAACAAGTCAATAAAGAAGAATAATGTTCATACTTTTAAATATTAAGTTATCTTTTCTTTTTTGTTACAGATCTATGATTTCATGGGTGTAGGAAGCTCCACTGTGAGGAAATCCTGTCTACAAATGCAAATAGGCAACTGCTATCCAATGATTGCCTGGGACAATATTCTTGTTTGTCCTTCGTTCTCAAAGAGAACCATGACATCAGGAAGATGTCATGACTTACAAGTAAATTGGATTTAAGCGAGGGAAGGCTGTGCAAAGTCATCAGCCTCAGTTTCTCCTCAAAATTGTGAGCCACACAGGTCCAGTGGCGATATATACATCAGGACACCTGAAACTGGCCCCAGATGCAATGAGAGACCTTGGCCTTTTTAGGTTAAGGTCTTTCCCAGGTCTCAGTTTGTCTGAGGCAATGCCCTTTCAGTGATTAAGAGTAGGTAAAAAATAAGGCAGAAAATGACCTCTTTTACCTAGTCAAAAAAAATCAATCTAGGAAGGGAAGATCCTCAGGGATTCTGGCCAAAACAGAAACCATTTCTATTTACACTTATTCAGAGCCATCAAAACCCGAACAAAGACTAAATGAGGCTTGTGCTGGGCCTTACCAATAGCCAATCAATGAGAGTCAGAGTGATTTAGGTTTAAGGCCTGGAAGAAAGAAAGAAAGAAAGAAAGAAAGAAAGAAAGAAAGAAAGAAAG